AAACAGAAAATACAACTTGCAGGGTTAACAAAAGAGTTATTGATCCAAACCAACTTAGCGGTCCAAAAGCCTAGCCGAGAGCAAGTCTATTAACCCGCTGAAGCAAGCAAGTCATCTTTGCCGACACGAAGTGCGAGAGTAGTCGACCCCTTATAAATCAAGACGACTCCTCAAGAGTCCCCCTGCCTCATAATCGAGACGACTCCTCAGATAGTCGGCTCGACCATCTACTCGGCTGTCTACCCGGCCAGCAGCTCATTCGACTGTTTGATCGGCAAGTCATGAGAATGACTCACAAGTCGACCCGACCCTGCTAAGAGGATAAGATCCAACTAAGCTGCCTTCAAGATATACATCGATCAACACCAGTATTGATCGGTCCTATCAAGATCTTAACTCTAACAAATCTCGTGCATAAAACAGCTCACTCTACTCCCAAGTCGCTTCTGGGACATCTTCAAGACACCTTCTCCTGTGCTTGAATGACTTCCCCTCCAGTCGCCAGACGTCACCTGTAAAGCAATGAGTGGCTAAACAGCCAGCCTATCTTCCGCCAGTCTTCGTCTGTCAGATCTGGGATATCTTCTCCTGTGCTCGAATGACTTCCATTCCAATCACCAGTCTACATCTGTAAAGCGAAGGATGACTCAGCAGCCTGTCCGCTCACCCCCAAACCGCCCTCCTATACGTAGTCAGAACCAAAGATCAGAATCTCGGAGGAAGAAGACTACAAAAAGAGGTAAGGAGGGTAAGGAAAAGGGGGCTGGCTCTCTCTCTCTCATCCCCCCCCACCCCCGAACCCAGAGACGGTTTCTCCTAAAAACCTCCCTTAAGCCCTCACGCAACCGACTTGACCTCGTAGAGGTACGCGCAGTGGGAAAACGAAGCCCCATACTCCCAATTCTTACGATGTGCAGGCTTCAGGTCAGCGCTGAGGCTATAGAGCTAAGGCATAAAGTCGGAGGATGAGTCGGTCCATCACCATCCTCGTCCCCATCGTCGCCAGCGGCGGGGCCAACCGAACGCACGCCCTCGACAGACAACCTCCATCGGCCAGTTTGCATATCAGACATCAATATATATATATAATATAGTATATATATATATATATAAGATATATATATATATTATATATATATATATATATTAATAATATATATATATATTCCAAAGCCTAGAAATTTGTTTTACAAGATTTTATGCACGGCCTAGTTCAAAGTCTGGCAGGAAAAAAACCACCGACAAACAGGCCAGCTAAGATTTCTATGGGGCATATTCACCGACAGACCACGTGTTCCGATAGGTTCAGGCGTGCATCGATCTAGCGCGCGCATAATGCGCGTGATTTCAGGCTGCACGACCTCACCTCCATGGGTGGCCGTTGAAGGAGAGAGAAAAACAGGCAGGCGGACCCGCGGAGATATTTCAAGCACAATAAATGGCGTGCCACGTGCACATAGAGTGGCAGAAAAAGCGGTACAAATACAGAGTCCTTGATACTGTATGTGTACAGAGTGTTTTTATGGGTGTTTTAACTTTCTATGGCCCAGATTGTGCCACATGTCATAACCCTAAGTAGATTAGGTTAGCAAGGTCCTATCTTAAAGCTGTTAATGATGGCAATGTGTGCGATTAATCCGAAAAATGAGAGAGCAATACAGCAGGAATTCGCAGATACTCCTCTCCTTGCGCAGGCTTCATTCAAAATTCACTAGAATTCACAGAAAATCTCTGTTTGTAAATTCCGTCAGAAGCCGTACGAAGTAGACTCAGAGCTGGACACCGTAATACTAGTTCTTATAGTGAGTGCTAGTTCAAAACTACAGATCTAAGTGACGAACACCAGAATACGCAGATGCTCCCTCGCTTGCACATTCAATGAAATTTAATAGAAATCTCCGTTTTGTATCGTCAGAAACTGTAGGCGAAGTGACCAGAACTGGACACGTAATACTAGTGTTTATAGTGAGTTCTACTTCAGAATTACCAGACCGACGCAACAAAGACAACATTGAGTTCTCTAAACTTTGTTCGCAAAGACAACATTGAGCTTCTGCTAAACTTTGTTCGCTTTATTTTTATTCGTTCGCCGATCTGTATTGTCTTTTACACTTATTTTGGACTCTAGATTTTTTTAGGTTGGGTTTGGCCGGACTAGGGGTTTTGTAGTTCGTGGAATTGTAGTAGATTTAGCTTTACTAGTGAGTAACCAACGAATCGGTTGGGGAGGACGATTGTGGGTGGGTAGCAATCTTACTGGTTGTCGGAGTTGTTCAAACTATTTGCTAGTGATTTTGGTTGTAGGATGTAGGCGTGGAGCCAAACCAGGTACATCTGTGTGTGCTTTACCATTCTACATTACTATTTACAAATTATAGCTACAAA